TAGGGGAGGAGCTTTAGTCGCGGTTGGCCTGGCCAACCGCGACTAAAGGCCTTTGCGCACCTTTAGTCGCGGTTGGCCTGGCCAACCGCGACTAAAGCCCCTCACGAGTACCAGCTGGCCACCGAGCGCCCTGGGCCCAGGCCTTTGGTCGCGGTTCGTCTGCTGAACCGCGACTAAAGACCTCATTAGTCGCGGTTCCTACAGTTTCGCGACTAATGGGGCTGGACGGAAGCCTCTTTTTCTACCAGTGAATTAAGCATCCGAATACACAGCTATAAATAATAAGTGATTGTCGAGGCTGCAAGTGACACAAAATTTTGGAATTCCAAACCAATTTTGTTTTACACTATTGAGGTACACACACACACACACACACACACACACACAAATGCGACTGTAACAAGTCAAATAAAAATTGATTGGATAAATACCATTGAACAAAAAAGGTAGAATTTTCAATACATTCAGGCACTGATGTTTTAGCGATTCTCAAAGGAAAAACAATAGAACACGTGTCAACTTGGTTTCGTTGTGTTTCAAACACTATATGCCCTCTTGAGAATATATTTACTGGTTGTCAATGTGGAGATAGTTATTTAGGGCCTCGCAACTGATCATCATCTATGCGAGTTGAGCGAGCTGAGATGGTTATGCTCCTTATAGTGCAATCAGCCCACTAGGGTTCAAGTCTTAGACTTAGCACTGGTGCTCACGTTTTTTTGAATATATTTCAGCCTTTTAGACAATCTTTAGGTGTTAGGCTTTAGTGCGATGTTTGTTTGGTATTAGGCCCGGACATTCGGCACACCTTCATCAAGGGGATAGGACTAGCAGCAGTGTTGTCAAGATGGTGGCTTCTGGCTTATTGACGTACCACCTTGTATGGTCTTTGTGAATAATTAATAATATGGTTGCATGCATCGTCCAGATGCAGAGGCCGGGGGTACATCCTCCTTTAAAAAAATCAGCCTTTCAGATAATCTTCGTTTAGTGGCAGGAGACGTTCCCATCGATTACAAGGCACCTGAGGCAACTTCGTCAATCTCAAGATGTTATGCGAGCTCAGTATCTCAGAGGTGCTTATAGGGATAGAGTGCATGTGTGCATTGATGAGTGATATTTTTACACTGATTTCAACCTTGTTTAAGTCGAGATATTTCACTAAGAGAGATATTTGCTCTGATATTGCCACTAATGACTAATGAATGCAAAGGATTCTATAAATCCTCTCTTTAATATTTTTTTCACATGAATTGGGCTAAAAGGGGAGATATCGCGTGGGAGAAAGGAAAGGAAGGAAAATGGTGAAAGAATAAATCATCAGGAAGTATCAGAAGGGCTCCAGAGCAAATGAAAGTGTTCCATGCGACCGTGAGCGCTCGCATGAGCGGTCGTTTGGCGTGGAAACCGAGACAACTCGTCCACTGAACAACTTTTATTAAGGGGACCCCATCGAAATGTCAACAGGAAAGGCGGAAAAGGAGCGCCAAGCACAACCACAACCCACTCATCATCTTCTTCGACAACAAACCCTAGACGCCGCTATTTTCACCACCATAGCCCTCTCTCATCTAGTCCATACTTGTAATCGTGCATCGCACAAGGCATCTATTGTAATACATATTGCAATTAATCAATTTCAAGATGTGTTCTTCAATGATTTCTTATCGCGATCTGATCTCCATGTGGGAGTAGTACGGTAAGGTATGTGAAGCAGGAGCCTTGCAGCCCCAGGTATTTAGTGAAGGCATCAATCGAAGTCTTTGACACAACGTCTTGTATGTGTAAAATAAAATTGCATCATGAAGTATCTCTTGTCTTGTCTGCGATCTTCATCCCCGCAGGTACCTGGATCATGAAGATTGAGCACCGGTGAGGATAGGAACAAGGAGACCATGAAGTGTTATACCGAACACTGGTGACAGTAAGGCTTAGTAGGGAACATGGATCATATCCTTGGATTTATGAGGTATAGTCATTGAACGCCCAAAGATTTTGTCTGATATTATTATCTTAATTATTGGGGCAACTCCGCGAGACGCATAGGGCCTTCGGTAGGAAAACTGATTCTTGATACATGACTCGTGTCGGTCATGATGTTATTTGGACACATCCCCCATTCCAAACGAAGCAAGCACCTCTTGATGGGTGACTTCCCTAGCACAAACTAATATCATTTTTTATCCCAACACCAATACAAGGTTGCAAGCATTAAGACCGTACCCCGTACCTTCTTTTTATTATAAGTGTTTGAATCACTATTTTCTTACTGATCCAGTCAAAAGCTGGATTTGACACTTTAGCAAAAGCTTGCTAGAGATCATCGCTTCAAGGGGATCTTTCTCTCGTGGGTTCAATAACCCAGGGTCACCTCTGGGGAAATAGTTGATGGATACTCTTTTTAGTTTCAATACCGGGTCCACAAAAAGGAGATATCATGCATTCATGGGATTGACTGTATGTGGCATCTGCGGTATTACTATGTTAAAGAAAGATAATTATCATTTATTGATATCATTAATATGTTAACATGAAACACTGAAAACATCTATTTTGTATAGAAAACATGAAAATTATATCTTCGGAGTTCACATAAAGTAACTAAGTAAGCCCATAAGGGCCAACATCGCCTGGCCATATACACTCTCTGTTTCCAAGATGTTTTGATAGTTCGATTAGTAGTAGGATTTAACAAAATTGTTTCCTTTTGTTGGAGCACAACCCAAGGGAAGCCTATCTTCACATGTTAGCATTTTTTCGGCACCTGCAATAGTTTCATATGGATAGAAACCCAATGAATTATGTAAAACATTTTGAATATCGGCACTTTAGCAATTCAGAATGAAAAGACAATAGACAGTACACATTCCATATGGCCTACTTTTCTATACCTAATAAGCCGTCCGTCATAAGATTGCCCCCAGAGTTATCAATGGTTACCCACCATGCCACCGCTAAGTGAAAAAAAGGAGTCCTCTTTCCCTTCACAAATCGCCGTCGGCTTTAGGTTTTTCTAAATTGTGATTTTTTTTATAATTTGTGAACAGTTTTGTAAAATCACTAATATTTTTGTAACTGTGAAAATTTTATGATTTCCCACACATTTTTGAATTCAAGGACATTTTATAATTTCTCGAACATGTTTATCAAAATTCGCAATGTTTTGAAATTTGGAAATGTTGAACTAATTTAAAAAAAGGAAAAAAATGAGACAAGAAAATAAAAGATGAACGCGCATTGGGGAGGAGGTGCGCGGCAAAAACGAGAGGGAAAATTAGCAGAACCTGGCCTCCGCAATGGATGAGACAGGCTTTAGCCACTAGACCGCTTGCATGTTTGTAAAATATATGTTGTATCTTCTTTATAAAACAACTTAGCATGGCAGAGACTTTGGAAAAAACAAATCGTTTTTTGACTTACGGGCGGCATTGGTGTGTAATTTTTGTCAACTTATAGGGTCAATTATATGACGTACCACCAGAAGCAATAGCCCATTTATTATATTAACTAGCAAACATGTCCGTGCATTACAACGGTAGATAAAAAATTACACGCTGCCCAAATAAGCATGACTCAGTCCCCTGACATATGAGCGTCCTCTATTTTAACACGGTGACTTATCATTTTGCCACTTATCATTCTTTCAACCCTCGCTAATGATGGACATGATGTCCATGTGATCGCAATGCATTCGACATTGTAAATCCCAAGGCAATGAGCTTGCCTCCACACGACACACTTGTCATTGTGTAGCGCAAGGAAATGTTTAAAACTTAAAATAAATCTCATCTACCACGAACTACTCCCAACGCCTAGACATATAAAGACATTCCAAGAACTAATCGAAACCTAGACATAAAAGACTTTTGAAACGGCAAACAATTTTTTGAATCGACAAACATTTTTTGGAAAAATCAGGCATTTTTTTTAAATTCACAAACATTTGTTTTATTTATACAAACATTTATTGAATACATGATTATTTTTGAATTCATGAACATTTTTTGAATCTATGATTTTTTTAAAAATTAGGGCAAAAAATTGAAATTCACAATTTTTTGAGTAGTTTCTAAAATTTCATGGACATTTTTTTTAGATTCACAAATATGTTTTGAATACACGGTTATTTTTTCAATATCAGGAACATGATTTTATTTCTCTATATTGTTTTTCAAAATTGTATTTTTTTATTAAGTTTTGAACATTCTTGTAAAATCATCAACATTTTTGAAACCACGAAAAATTTATGATTTTTCAAACATTTTTAAATTCATAAAAAATATAATTTTTTCTCAAACATTTTATTCAAAAGTCTCAACTTTTTGAAATTTATAAACCCCTAATTAATTTAAAGAAGAAATAGAAAAAACAAAAATAAGAAAAGAGAAGACATCAAAATGAAATGGAAAAAAATAGAGGCGCCACCCCCCGCAGCCCAGGAATACATATATGGGGAGAGGAAGTGCCTGAGAAAAAGTAGTGTGGAAAACAATGGAACCTGGGGTTCAAACCCTGGTCTTCTGGGTCGGAGAGAGAGGTTGTAGCCACTATGTGGCTAGTATGTGTTATAGAGTGGGTATCATACCTATAAAAAGTCTGAGCTCGACGGCGACTTTGAAAAAAAACCCGAATCATTTTCACTGGGTGGCATAGCGGGTAATATATAGCAACTTTGAGGGCAATTTTTAGATGGACGGCCAGAGGAAATACTTACTTTATTATTAAATTATAAGGTAAGAGGTAAAATAAGATAAGAAAAAAAGTAGAATTTTTTCATTAATTATTTTGAAAACAATACATATCAACTTACATATATACCAACAAATTAATCGCCAGGATGGTCAATCCATGACAAAGTACTTTAACAAACATTACTTAGCAGATCAGATACGTAGAGATCGCTAGTGCACGTTACTTTAGTTGAAGGTTGACGCCAGACGCAGCACGTACGCTAGCACGCACGCAAGTACCGGGCTGGTTTTGACTCCTCGATCGATCGCTTAGACGTAATTGGCGTCGGTGACCATGGCGATGCCGCCGGCGGTGGCTGCTGTTGCCGCGGCGGGGCGGCCGAACCTCGTGACGGCGCAGTCCGAGGCGAACAGGGCCGAGGAGACGTAGTCGGCGGTGCCGCCCATGATGGGCATCTTCGAGGTGACGTTGAGCTTGTTGACGTAGTCGGAGCGGTAGGTCTGGCCGAGCACGCCGTGGACGTCGTCGGAGAGCGCCTGGAACTTGAACCCGAGGTCGAGGTGCGCGAGGCAGTCGTCGGCGGTGACGCCGTAGCTGTGCACCTTCGACTCCTCGGCGGTGATGGGCACGGCATTGGCCACGATCCGGAACACCCCTTTGAGCTCGACGACCACGTTGTTCGCCTGTGCCGTGCGGGTGATGGAGAGGCCCGGCACGGAGGCGGAGGACCAGCGCGCGCCGTCAGCGAGAGGAATGTCGATGCGCTCGTCGTCGAAGGCGAGGTCGAGGTGGTCGACGGCGGAGTCCCACTGGGCGGAGCGGACGGCGCCGAGGCGGAGGTGGTGGTGGGCGAACATGACACCCACGGCCTGGATCCAGGTGAAGTCGCGGCTCGTCGCAGGGTTGTGGTTGCCCATGAAGTGCGCGTTGATGTGGAGGTCGTCGTCGGAGAGGATGCAGAAGTCCTGGTTCTTCATGCCGTGGAAGTAAAAGTTGTTGCCGTCGCCGCCGGTGAAGCGCGGGTCGCCGCAGGACGCCCCCGGGTAGAAGTCACACACTGCATACAAAAAGTACATCATGCATGCAATGCAAGAAGATTAGCATATGCATGTGTGATTACACTACAAAAATTACACTCAATTCACATAGCCATGTTGTACTTATAAACTACGTACGGCAGAAGGTCATGCAGGATGGGCAGAGGACGAGGCACTCTTTGGGGCAGCGGCTGGGGCAGGTGGCCTCGCACCCGGGACGCTTCTTCTTGGTGTCGGTGCAGGTGAACTTGCTGTTGCGCTTCCCGACCCCCGGCTTGATCACCACCAGGTTGCTGCCCTTGGGCACCTTGGGCACCTGTGGCGGCGGCGCCTGGGCCGACGCCGACGACGCCATGAGCGTGCACAGGACCAGGAGGCTCGCGCCGATCGCGCACGCGGCCACGGCGGTCGACGGCCACCGCACCGCCATTGCTAGCTGCGGCTGGACAAGCTAGTGACTGGTTGAATGCTGGATAGATGAGTTTGTGTTTCTCTGGCTAGCTCTTGCTGGTTGTGGTTGTTGGTGTTGCTCTGGTACTAGGGTGCGTGTGTCTTATAGCGGCTGGGCGCCATGGATTAGCTAGGGGCGTTGACCTAGAGGCAAAGCTGCTGGAGGGTACGTGCCGGGCCAGCAACGGGGCGGTGGCTTTTCTTACCTGCGAAGCGTGCGTGCATGGACGCACCACGGCCACGAGACGGTCATTATTGCATGCACGCTTGCATAAGTTTAGGCGAGGTGACCGATCGTCAGCTAGTTATTCCTGCTTCTCAACTAGCTATTTTCTCCTCGCCAAGCTACCGAACGTGATGTGCGTAGCACAGAGTAATTATTGCATGCACAGTTGCACACTTGCATCAATCAATCAAGTGCCAAGCCAGTTGAGACTTGAGAGTCGAACATATACGCTTCGACGTGAAAAAATAGGAACCTATGAAGGCCATGCATTTTTTTCCCCATTTCTCCCTGCGAAGCAACCCTACATAGGTAATGCAAAAATTGCTCCATGGCCTGGTGGATTACGCTTCTACGTGGATAACTGTAGGATCGATGGTCAATGGCGTCGCCCGCGCGCACGTACGTACGTATGTGCCCCATACATAACATGCATGCGAAATGCAAACGACCATGTATCTACTCCCTATTTTCTATTGTGTATATGCACTAGGCCGCTGGCTACCCTGCTTCCAAGCTCTCGGCCCATTCCATTGGTCGACTTGGCCATCTTCTTTCTTCTTCCTTGGTCTCGCGTCGTCCTCACTTGATCACCGTGCCATGCGACGTAGGGTTGGTGCCGCGTGGAATTACGGCGAGACTAGCGGCGCATATGCATGTTACGGCGAGACATGGCGTGAAGACGAGGGCTTGTCAATGCGTTGACGCGGCGAGCTAGGGAGTTAACTAATCTTGGCACCGCGTGGCGCCACCGCCGGCCGGCGAGGCAGTACGCGGCTGCACCGCGTAGGCGTCGACACGCAGACACGCAACTCCTTCATGATGGACTACTAGACACAAAGAGATTGTTGCACATGAAAAACTTTTCCACGCCTTCCTGCGATTGTGCAGCTATGGAGTGTCTAGTCAAGGCAACAACCTTCCTCGTAGTATCCTTTTGCTGCTGCTAGATGCTACTCCCTCCGTTCCGATTTACTCGTCGTGGTTTTAGTTCAAATTTAAACTAAAACCACAACGAGTAAATCAGAACGGACGGAGAGTAGAATTTGTGTGCCCAGACAAACTCTAAATTCGCCGAGCCTTGAAGCCTTTTGTGGCCACCAAATGGAAACTAGGAGTCCCTTTATTCGTGGAGGTTATCACTTTAGCAGCCTGGAGTATTTACATGTTCTGAACACAATAAGATTTTCACAGAAAAAGAAACAATAAATTTCCAAAAGTAATGAGCATGCGGCGGCGTACATATAGAAAATCCAGAGGGGCGCATGATACGTCCTAGACGTATCTATAATCATACCTTAATGGAATAGTTTTCACATCAGATTTTATTATTATTTTTGGACTAACCTATTAATTCAGTGCCAAGTGCCAATTGTCAATATTTTTTTCGTTTTTAGACTTTTCCGAAAAACCAATTTTGTGGGACCAATAAAGTCAGAAAAAAATTCTGGAAGTTTTGAGAAGTGACGAAGCCAAGGGCACATGTGCGAGCATAAAGCGTCTCCCGTGGGCCCTACGTGGCCCCACCGCATAGCCTAGGGTTGGAGCGCATGGCCCACCTCCACCACCTCTTTCTTCAGCCGCCTTTATGTACTCCAAAAACCCCTTAAAATAATGATCGAGGATTTTTTTTCCTACCATCGCACCTCTCTGTTTCATCGTGATACAATCTGGAGGCCTTTCCTCGCTACTCTGTCGGAGGGGGAATTCATCATGACAACCATCTACATCAACCTTGCCGCCACCATCTCCATGTGTGTGAGTAGTCCTCCTTTGAACTATGGGTCCATAGGAGCAGCTAGGTGGTAATATGAACCTCTTTCTTCAATACAATAATCACATGAGCTGCCCTATATGATTATGCTTCATCTGATGCAATTTTTAAGGCGTGTTTGGTGTAGTGAGATGAATTTCCACTTTATGAACAGATTTGCACATGTTTTAGTCATGCATTCTTATGAGTTCTTTGCTGCATAATCTCCAATGTTTACATGAATGATCTCGCAGAAAGAGTTGTGTGTGTTAGTTGAGTTCAATCTTACAAGTACTAATGCACTTTGTGTTTGGAAGTGATTATTGCAACAAATAAATAAAAGTTCAGATTGTAAACGAGAAATAAAAATATGTTGATCGAGGTTGAAAGCAATTGAGATGAATGGACCGGGATACATAGTTTCGCTAGTTAGACTTTGCTTTTCTGTTAATAATGTTTACATCGTGGATGTGACGTACACATGCACATAGCTAGGATAGTGGAAGTGTTGCATGCACATTTCTTTCTTCCTTTTGATTTATTCCTCTAGTTAGCATGGCACATAGAAGCAGCTGTGTGATGGCGCGGCATAGCTGGATGACCAAGAGTTGTTAGTCACGTAGTTAGCTCCTTTGGAATCATGGTATACACAGAGGAAGGGATAACAAAAAAGTCGCGAAGTTAGGCGTCGTAAAACTCTCTCTC